ACAATGCACTTCTGTTCAGCTTGGGAGGGGGTTGAGAGCACCGCAGATTCCTGATGTCGTGGGGGTATCGCACCATCACGTTTCTTATTGGGGCGTTTCTTACGTTGTGGCCGAGATTGAGCTATGTTTCTTAGCCCTTTTTTCTTTTTTTTCATACAAAGTTGAGCCTTTTTGCTTACAGAATTTTTCTTAACTGCGGGCGCTATCTGTATTTGAACGCGAAGGGAAGGGGTGGCGAGTACCGTGAGACGCAGTACCTTCTTTCGAAGACCGTTCATTCGTTTACTCATGAAACTCAACAGAGCCATAGCAAAGTGGCGGGGGAAGGTTCCGGGAACTCTTCGCGATATGTGGAAGGAAAAGCCATCAGGCAGGGTAGCTTTTGGTTTCCGCCGGGACAGTGATATGTACTGGTGTTCCTCGGTGCGACGCTGAAATACGCTCGTTTTTTTTGTTGTCTTACAAGAATGAGATAAATATATGTCTACTTTGACTTTCCTCCTTCTTCCGCTACCGGCTATGCAGTACATTAGATAGTTGGCCAAGTACAAACTGGTGTACTGTACAAGTAGCTATTTTCAACACGTCNATAGCAAAGTGGCGGGGGAAGGTTCCGGGAACTCTTCGCGATATGTGGAAGGAAAAGCCATCAGGCAGGGTAGCTTTTGGTTTCCGCCGGGACAGTGATATGTACTGGTGTTCCTCGGTGCGACGCTGAAATACGCTCGTTTTTTTTGTTGTCTTACAAGAATGAGATAAATATATGTCTACTTTGACTTTCCTCCTTCTTCCGCTACCGGCTATGCAGTACATTAGATAGTTGGCCAAGTACAAACTGGTGTACTGTACAAGTAGCTATTTTCAACACGTCCCCGACTGCTGTACATCTCATTTCAAGTATTGTCAATATGTTCGACGTCAAGAAACGGTTGCCAGTCGTCTCGGCGATGCTGACTTTTCGTAATAACCCCCTTCCTTAGCAAAAGACGCGTAGTTTGAGGTATAGCATGCCTCCATTGTCCCCGGGGATGTTGAGCCATCGTCCCCTGAATTTTAAGGACGCAACCCCGCTTTAAGGACGCTTTTTTNTTTCGTAATAACCCCCTTCCTTAGCAAAAGACGCGTAGTTTGAGGTATAGCATGCCTCCATTGTCCCCGGGGATGTTGAGCCATCGTCCCCTGAATTTTAAGGACGCAACCCCGCTTTAAGGACGCTTTTTTTCAGGAAAAACCATGTGCGTCCTCAAAGCGGGGTCGACTGTACGGATGACAGCTGCCAATGGCTTGATTTATTTCTGATGCTTTCAATTCCATCAATGACCGCCAAGCCGGTTGACTGGCACCGCTGGCTCTGCATCGCGCCAGTGAAATTGCTAGGCACAGACTGAATCACAACGTCATCCTATCTTTTGAATAGCGCCGGTTGCTTCGCCAGGCACATACCGGCGTTATTGAGGGTCCACAACTCTACAAGCACTGTGAAACTGCCTCGAGCGTGCTTGACCAACCATATTAACATTACGCGGTGCGCCGACGTGACGATGGCCGAGAGTACATAACAACAACAACCGCAACAACGAACGCAAAATCACCCCACGCTTCATGAATGCTAAACAATTCCCCGCTCTCTAGGTACACCCACCTTGCTCACGGTTCACGCCGAACGTATTTTCAATACGCAAAGAAGAAAAAAAAACTGTTGTAACAAAAGATGTCGTGTGAATGGTTTTCACAACCCCGTCGATGTGAACACACAGCGCACCGTACCTCATCGCTGATCGCTACAGGTGCCTCCGTGGTCCAGTTGTCCGCCTCGAACTCCCTCACGAGGCGTTCCGCACGGTCCAACTCCTCGTCCCCGCCCCTCAGTCGCACCTGGCGCCACCCGACAGCATCGTACGTTCGGCAGTCGTGAAAGTGATTGTTGTTCTTGTCACGTGGTCCACGTTATACATACATATAAATAAACGTTTTGTCTACTTTGTGTAATTAAGTCCGCAGGGGTGTGAAGCAGCAGCCGTGAGGGTCGGCGTCTGAGCTCAATCCACCTACGGACGACCCCAACACCTGGAACGCAAGTCGATCACCAAAAGTGAGAAGATCAAAAAGACGACGAAGACCACGCTCCGACGAAAATCAACGAAGACCCGCCTGCCACAGGTGGTGCGAATCCCACCACCCCCTTCCCGCAAGCCAACATATCGAGCCTGGCAAATCTGGGGATACTGCGACCAGCCCTTGATTCCACTGGCCTGTATGTTGCATGTCCCACACTCACACCGCGACAATCGCTTGGTGGAAAGAATGCCTGCCCGGTCCCGTCGAAAACCAGACGTGTGCCCCGAAAATCCCGAGGCTCCCCGTTCCGGCACAAAACATACAAGAGATGAAAGGGGCTACGGAGAACAACATTTTTACTCACCTCTTCAGCTCTTGAGCTCTTCAGCATACATGTCAATGATAATACCCTCTGGCGACAGGGAAGGAACGGTCGGTTGTGGCCATCGGTCCTTTGAGAACAATGCTCCGTCCCCTCAAGGATACCCGGTCAATGGTCTAACAGCCAATGCATCCAAAACAGAAGAGCACGTCCCCCCTTCTCCAGTCCCCGGACCCCGTTTTTTCTCACCATGCCCTCCGCCACCAAGGAGTCCATGATCACGCCTCCGAATAGGTCATCCGGGTCTCCTCCTTCACCCGCATCACCCCTCGCCCGCCCGCCATCGTTCGAGTTCGCTCCTCCTCCTCCTCCTCCGCCGCCGCCGCCGCCGCTTGTCCCCGACCCCTTTTGCCGCCGATTAGCCCCGGTAATCCTGTCTCTCACTCCCGCGGCGCGGAAAGTCCTGAGCATCCCGGCTATCTTCGACCCCACGGCCACCATCCGAACCTGCCGAGGTCGAAGAAGGAGCGGGAGGGCGAGGGCGGCGGTGACGTCATTGAGCGCTTGGCGTATCCCATTCTGCTTGTACCACACTGGTGGTATTTAGATGTGCGCTAGGTATTTAGGTGGTAGCTTGTGGCGCGGGGAGGGGGAGACGCCGCATCGCTTTTGCAACACGTGTAGCATACACCGAACCTGTTCCCCAGACAAGGACACGCATCCACCCCGTCGTTCATCCCGCCCGTGCTCCCCCCTGCATACCTACGAGGATGATGGAGAGAAACCGAAAGTACCCTTCTGCGGAAGGTTCGGGCAGGCAACAGCATTACACGCCACGGACGCAGCTACAACCGCCAGTCCCTGTTCGCAGTTGTAATCATAGCTCCTACACTTACATTTGCAACGAACTTCAACATAGACTAATTTTCCAAGCTACGGCACTAGAACCGGCCACTCGCTCTTCGACCGGACGTCCACTGATCTCGCCCGTCGATGGTTCCCCAAGCACCATGTTCCGTGCCAAATAGCGTGAAGATTGTAAAAGAATGTTGTGATGTGAAAATTCGCTAGCCCCGGCCCTCAGGCTAGTTGGTCGGCTTGGGAGCCGATCGGCACATAGTACAACGAGTCATTAGATGCACTTGTACCACCGCATGTCTACATATCCTATCCGGTGACTGCAGCAGTTGTAGCTCGAACTCGATGTTGACGAGTCCAATTCAATTCATCAGTTCAACAGGCACACGGTGAGCTTGGATCTGAAGTATGTAGCTGTGGGCGACGACTCTAGCTTAAGAACCAGCTTCAGCACTGCACTCGAAGACGAGCCTCGACTTCGCGCTTGCGGTTTGAACCCGCTGCAGCCAATGCAGCGGAGTGCTAATAGCAGAACACCTCTAGAAACTCTGTCGGTCAATATTCGCAGGACCAAAAAGCCACCGGCGTATCCCAGAGATATGCACAAGTACAGCAAAAAAATGTCCGAACCTGTTGGTGATGGACCCACTTCTCGACCAGGCCGACGGCGGCGGCGAGCCTAGCCTCGTCGTCCGCCAGCAGCAACACCTCCGCCACGCCGTCCGTCGCTGGCGACAGCCCGAGGTCGCACCCGACGCAGAGGCGCCGCAGCTTCCGTATTTCCGACCCGGCGTGGCCGACAAAGGTCGACACGATATCCTCCCGGACGGCAACCTTGGCCGTCAGGTGCTCGGCGGCCTGACCCGTGGTACGTGGTACGTGGTACGTGATATGGTACGGTGGCGCGTGCGCGAGTCATACCGTCACGTTAAGTGCCCCGCAGTCGAGAACAGCGCCGCCGAGAGCAGCGCGCGCGGGGGGGGTCGTTTTTTGTTAGCGTTCATCGTTTGACCGGCCTCCAGGAATATTCCCTTTGAACGTGCAAACCATGCGGGGGGGGAGGGGGGGCTGATTCGTCCAGGTCGGCGTTCCGGAGAGTGACGGTTGATCTTCTTGTCTGTCACGGGGAGCAGACTGCAATTGCGCCTTGCTTCGGCTAAAGAGCGTCATCGAAACGGTGCGCTTTTGTTTTGGTTCGTCGTCCGAGGGCAGACAGCCTCGCCGCTCTGATTATCCGAGAAGCCACCGAGACACGCTTGTGTCTTTTGTTTTCTGGAGATGGTGTGGCTGGTAGAGAGTGGCATCTGGAAAAAGGAAAACAAAAACAGAGCCCATCCAACCAGAACAAAACCCGTGTCGACAGGTCATCCCACGAGGCCAATAACAGCGCGCAACCACACGTCGTGGCTGAGGACGAGACGCGACACACCGCAGCGGAGCCTCACCTTCAAGCGCTCCAGCAGCAGCACGCCGGCCGCCGACACCCTCGGAGCCGCACCCCTTACCCAGACGAACGACGTCGTGCTCTGACTCCCCCCCCGTCCCTCCTTCACCTCCTCCTCTGGCGAGTGGGGGGCTTCATCGACGTCCTCCCCTTCTCCTTCCAAGAGCGCAGCCGCCGGCAACGTGGGCGCCGCCGCCGGCCCCTTGGTCTTGGCCCCTTCGAGGATGGTCATCATCACGCCACCTCCTACCCGGTGGGCCATGCCTTTGAGCTCCGCTCCCCGGTTGCGGAGTAGGAAGGAGACCTTGGGAACAGTTTGTTTTGGTGGCGCATCGTTCCAGTTAGAGGGAGGGGGTGATTGGGCGGGAGATGTAAAAGCTTGTGTAATGTCTGGTATGTGCAGTCAAAGCCGGTAGCTCGACGATACGCTGCTGGACAACACTACGGGGTGGCTAGATCGCCGCCGGACTTCTTATGTTCAAAACGGCAGCATGAGTCCGTGGAAGGGGCTGAATGCTCCTCCGGGAGGTGGGTGCCGCAACCCTTGGGGTGGACGGGCGGCGGAGGGGTCCTAGGCATGGGTGAGTACACGACCGCGGCGGCGGCGGGGGCACCAACACTCCAACCAGCCACCCACATCAACACAAAAAAATCTTCACAACGAACACCCACGCATCCAATAGTCACCTTGCAGAGAGAGCGAGACGGAAAGACACACAGGGAGGGACGGAGAGACCCTATCTTGAATCACGTGTACGAAACCTTCTCCAGCCAAGGCCTGCCACCGGCCTGCCAACACATAAATCCGCCAACACTACCACCGCCGCTTCACCACCTCGGGTAAGCCCCCGAACACACCTGGTACGGCTCCACCGGCCACCGCTCCTCCGTGTCCCGGAACTCGTGGGATATCGCTCGGATCTTTTCCGCCGCCGCCTCCACACCTGCTCGAACCCCCATCAACACCACCCGGGACACACCCGTCTGCACGTCCAAGCAGACGCCGTACTCCGACTGCCGTGTGCGGGACCGAGGGACGGTGGGGGGGATGCGCCGTGAACGCGCTGCTGTTCGGGAAATCGAAAAGCTACTGTACAAACTGCAGTAGCACGCTCTATCAAAGACGGCCATAGGGGCGGCACGCGTGGTAACCTCGGCATCAGTTATCACCTCCATCTGCTGGAGGTTGGCACCCCCGGAGCCGAAGATGGAAGGCAAAGCCTTTCGGGTGACGGGTACAGCAAGCTCCAGGCAATCCAGCCCCTCCAGTTCCGCCCGCGCCGCGTCGATTCCCTTCGGCAACCCGCAGACCGTTACGTCCACGGCCACCTGTCCCCGCGCCGGCGCCGGCGCCGGCGCCGCCCTTGCCCCGCCGTCTCCTCTTCCACGCGACTGATGTTCCGCGCGACCACCACCATCTTTGCCGCTATCTCCGGCAGCACCCGTGCCGCCGCTATCGACATCAACGGCGGCGGCGGCGGCGGCGGCGGCGGCGGCGGCGGGGCCGACGATGAAGATCTTGACGCCGTGCTCCTTCTCCAGGCGGAGCAGCAGGGCGCGCCTGGACGCGCGGAGGGCGGCGGCGAGCGCGGGCGAGGCCTTCACCACCGCTTCCGTCGTGCGGATGGTGACGTCGAGCCTGCGCCGGGCTTCCTCGACTCCCTCGCGGGTGCCGCTGAGGTGGAGGATCAGAGTGTCACCGCCGCCGCCGCCGCCGCCGCCGCCTCCGCCGCCGCTGTTGCTGCTGCTGTCTCCACGATTGGCGGAGCCATTGCTGCCGCTGCCGTTGGGCAAAGCGGTACTGGGGTTTGTCGGGCCAGATCCGGGCTGCCGCTGTGGACCCACAGACTCGATTCTGGAAAAAGAGGAAAGGATAAACAAACACAACCAAGATACGACATCATCACGTACCTGGTCAGATGGCTACAAATTGCATGTGTTTCGCTGCGAAGGCGGAACGTAACGATGGAAGGGCAACGGTATCGAGAAAGGAAAGACCCACAGCCACGCCGAAGGCAGCGGAGAAAAACATGCTATCGGGCCCATTGGAGCCGCCACCCTGGGTTGAGGTTAAACTGAGATTCCTTCCACGCACGTTCATGCCCACACAGGGGATGTCGACGCCACGAATCGCGGGTGCTTCCACGCAACCGCGTCAAGGTTATCATCCAGCGGAATGACAATAAAAAGCAGTTCAGCTCCTAAGGCACGAGCTACGAATCTCGTTACCATTTCGAATTCCAACCAAGCGCATGAGGTGACGATAGCCTACTGTATTGCTGGAGGGAGGAGGAGGGGTGCGCACACCCACGCATTCCTACGACCCACCGTCGTACGGCCGTGGTACAGCCCAAGCTAGGCAATTATATCGCCGAGTCCGAAGGCAGGCAAAATATTCAGGGACAGCACGAGGAGAAATGAGCTATACAAACACCCCAGGCCGAGCGGTACTCTTTGGTCGCCCGGCGCGCGCACTGGGGGGGGGGGGGGGGG